ACTGTATTTATCGACGTGAACATTGAGATGTTGAACAGAGGGCGCCTACAACAAAGCCTCTTATATATATATATATATATATATATTCTTCCTCCTTTGTATAATAAATCTATTATTTTATCATATCCAAAAAAAATACTACAATTTAATAAATCCGCAATTTTATAACATTTGAATCCATTTTGCTATGTTCATTCAATAAATGTTTCTCTAATTATATTTAAAAAATATAATTATTTTATTGTAATTATTTTTTACTCTAATTATCTAAAAATAAAAAGATGAAAGTGTTATCGATTTAAATATAGTTTACAATATTTTTTATTACTAAATAATTTTGATAAATATAATAAATTTGGGCTACTGTATACTGCGTACTTTTAACAGCGAATTTTGATTGAACACACCGTGTGGCATACATATTAATTAAAATCGTCTGTTGTACATTGATTTCATCTAAATACAATATAAAAATAAAATACAAATATTTTGAGAAATAAAATATAATTTTATCTAATAGCACAATATATATCATATCGAGAATATATTTCGCAGTTTACCCGTTTCTATATTTATATTAATTAAACACTTTTTTTATGTTAATATTTATACATATGTATGATGACGGCTTCAATGTGCACCAGTGGATCCAATCAAATTTACTACAAGGCATTTTATTGTATCATATTTTTATATATACGTATTTTTTTATAATGCATTGTTAAAGATAACGAAGGTAGAGTAATTGAAAATAATCTTGTTTTTTTTTTTAAATGCGGAATCAATCATATCGATGAAATGTAAAGTTCAGATTTCCCGGCCTCAATAAAAGAAATATTGGAAAAGATCAATTTTACACATACAAAAATCATTGTAGGTGTGTGTTTTCAATTAAATACAGCGAAAGTATCAGGGGAATTGATTTTATTTTATTTAATTTTGGATGATTTTATCTTGTCCTCTATTACTTTGTTGTATCGATTTTGTGGCCAATTTTAGCGCGCACATTAACTGATTTAGATAAGTTAATTTTGAAAAGCTCTTTGTACGTTTCATTCAAACACTCTTCACATTACGGCGTGTGAATTGTTGATAATTACAAAGAATTACATATCAGTATCATGGTCATTATTACCGTCGTCTGCGAGACTTTGATCATCGTGTTTCTATCGTGATATATGTATATGTACTTGTACAGATCACGATCGTATCGTGCGAGTAATAATTCTTGCGTCAAGCATTCCACCGCGTGTAAATAATGTCGCTCCTCTATAATTATAATTATAAGCGTGCGTGAATCATTATACGAGATGCGCTGAAATTACGGCGAATCAGGTAATGAGAAGACAAACTAATTGGATCTCCGTGAAAGATAAATGAGACATGCAGCCACAAATGTCTACAGTGTATATTATCTTTTCTGAGATAATATCTCATTTTTTAACATTTTCTGATTTTATTTTAATATCTTTAATTATTTAATTTGGTAAACTGATTTGCTTAATGAAACACGATTAAATTATTTATTAATTTAATATATATTTTCTCTCTCTCTAAAATTTAATATCTTCTAAAATATGAATAATAAATATGAAAGATATGTCGTTTTACATATTACTTCAGTTTTTGTTCAATCTCTTTGCAATACTTCTAGAAGAATTCGTTCTAATCATACATAATTTCAGTCTTCCTGTAATACAGTAATAATTTATCAGAACTATTTAAAGTTTAATTTATTCGTAGACAGGTGTGGAAAATGCGTCATCAAGTCGAATGTTGTTACGCGATGTCTTGAACGCAAATGGAAACGTTAAATCTTCAACATAAAACAAGTCTCATAATAGTATATCTGGCAAAGTAGAATCATTATCTCATTGATACTTCCGATAATATCTTTTAATGATCCTAATGTTTTTTCTTAAATATTTTTATAATGAATAACAATTTTTTATTAAATATCGTGATACCACAATTCAATATGAATTAAAATTTACTTTTTCTATAATTTTTATTCACTAAAATTAATTTCAGTAAAAAAAATATCAAAAATTATTATGGGAAAAGAAATGCTACTCTCAGGATTCTTTTTAGTGTAAAATTTGGTGTTTTAATGTATCTGTCTCGTTTCACAATATAACTTAATATAAGCAGAATACGTCGATAAAAATTCAAAAGAAAAATCGAGCATAAAAATTAATGCCATATTAATAATACCAGCAAAAAAAAATTTTTGACGCATGCTGGAAATTTGCATTAGCATTATAAATTATATCCTATTAGTTTGTATTTCTATATAAAACAAAAAAAAATGAATGTCGGAAAAGTTTGTCCTAAATTGCTTCAACACAGTCGGACATATCGTAAAGTTATCTTTAGCCAAATGTAATGCTTGTGTCACTGTGTGTAGGAAGCTTTATCGCAAGTCGCGTCAACAAACGTTGCGTTGAAATCTCCACGTTGTCCCACATACGCTCAAGGCAAAAAACCACAGGCTCTGGCTTAAGTCGTTAAAAATTTTAATCTTTGCACATCTCTACTCGCATGTAGATACAATAAAACTTGTATGTTAGGAAATTTATGAACGAACGAATCCACGATTTCAAGTGGAAGTCTTGTCTGACAACTTTTGTTGTCTGTAGAACACAAACAGGCAAAAAATCTCACGCAAAGTATACCGATACTCAAAGATGAGCGGGTCAACATTGAAGTTTTCTGTGTCTCTCTTTCTCTCTCTCTCTCTTTCTTTCAATTTCTACTTTTAGTTTTCTTGAAAATACTACTATTTATCACATCTTACATAAAATACACAAACATTGCGATCGAAGCCCCGGTGCGATTATTAAAATAGTAGCTTGAAAAAAATCTGACAGTTCTCCTTAAGATACTTGTGGTCGTTGCAATCTGCGTGCAGTGACCATTTATAACTAGTCGCACTAAGGCCGTATTGCAAACGCGGTTTTCTTGCGGTCCAAGATGACGCAATCGGTTGACAGCGAAAGTATTATACATATACATACACACGTAGAACGCAAGAATAATTCGTGTCAAATTGTAGAAAGGAGATAAATTATATACTAGGCGGTACCGGAATCTTCGACCTCAATTTCGATGACGAATGTAAATTTGAAATCGATTTTTCCCGAGCCATTACAAAGAGTTATTATTTGTTACTTTTTTCTGTATACAATATTGATATATATTATATATTATATATATGATACTATATATGTATGATATATATGGTATTATATATCAATCGATAATATATCAACCATTCATAATATCAATTGATCATATATCAATAGAAATTCAAAAAAAAAGTCGAGAAATTCGATGCCATACCAATAGTACCAGTTAAAAAAAATTCTGCCACTGAAACTGAAATCGAGAGATCTAGTACACGCTATATAACAGCTAACGAAGATTCGTATGTGATGCCAAAGCACGTACTTTCCTAATGTAGCCTCTTCTCCCTTAATTGACGTGTAGGGAATAACAATGACGCATATATCACTCGTAAAATGCCTGTTCCGTCGAATGGATAAACGTTCGCTGAAAACGTCGCGACAGGTTCGTAACGTGCGCGTCACGATAAGTTGCAACTTCATCGGTCATTTATGTAGACAGGCAACGGAAACCGCTTAATCCAATGTTAACAGTTAGATTATATGCTGCACCCTTTTCCCCAAGGCCGTCACGACCAACGAACCGAATTCTCGAATGCGACTATGAGAACGGAATAAAAGTCGATACGCTTTGAGCAACGGCAAACACCTATGAAATATAGTACATTTTTTTACACAACTAAAATGATTATTTATAAAGTATATAATATGACGGTGGTTTCTCAGACGTATGTGTATTTGTGAAAGGAAATTCTAGCTATTTTCTCGATACATGAAAACAAGAAAGAAGAACACTCGAAAGAGAGACCGAAAATTAATAGAACTGAATATATTCATTATAATATTTTAATAGAATACCTAATATTTTCATTTCGAATTACAAAATTCATACTTAAATTTTTAAGGAAAAAAAAAAAACATGAAAATAGTGGCTATTTTAAAAAAGAATCTATTTCAATTAACATTTTTAAAAGTCAAATATTTTCTTTCTATTTTCTTTTTACTAATGCCCAATTTCTTCACCTCTAGATAACTTTTATTTAAGAGATATCTCCTGGATAAAGTTATCCGCAGTTTATCTGGAAGTGAAGAAATTGACCATAATAGAAGAAAACTTAAGGTCGAAACACCCTTTATATTACATTATATACACTACGGGTGCTACAAAATTGAGCTGAATTTTATTTGTTCGCGTTCACACCTTAAAATTAGAATCATCTTTCAAGCTAACATTTTCTATTGGTATATATTGTTTCTCTATATCTAGTTTTTAGCGTCTATTTAGGTATTCTACATATAAAACTATTTCGTTAAAAATCTCGTTCATGAGACTGAGTATAAGATCATTGATTAATCATTCCCAAGCAACTTGTATATAGAATTACGCGAGATATGGATATATATGTAATAAAAAAAAACCGGTAAAAATGAAATATACATATGTCTAAAATTGAACGCTTGGGAAAGACTAATTATTTACATCACGATTCAGAATATTCTTCTAACTTTTAAATAACTAAGTCGGGTTAAAGCAAAACGCATAATAAACCATAAAGTATAAACATAATAACGCGATCGATCGTGTCATTGCCATTTTGCTTCGTTATGTATTTTGTTTTAACTACTTATTTGTTTAAAACTTAATAATGATCCTGAATCATTTTGTCTACAAAACAATTTAAATCCAATTTAAATCTCAAGTGCTTGCGCATATTTGAAGCTATCGCTATAATATGTAGATATATGAAAATATAACTATGTAAATCTTACAGCGTAAACATACTTGCAGGAACGCGCCGCGAGGTGCGAATCAGTCCGTGTATTTGAACTAATTAATTATCATACAGCGCAAAGTGCGCGTCCAAGATCTCGCGCTTACGCGGTCACGGACTTCGAACTAGTATTACCCATCTTCTTCGTAAATTCCATAAGGAAATCTCTGTAGACGAGCGAGTCCATGTTGGACGAAAGAATATAAAGTATCCACCAGTCGCCTAAGTCGACCTTTCTGCTGACGCTCTGACAAGTTTCGATGGGCAATAGTCTCGTCGATATATGTAGTACTCTTGATCGTATCATTGGAGCAAAAATGATGAGAGCTCGATATACCATCAGACCGATTAACATGATGCCTAGTATGAAGAACCAGAACCAGATGAAGATGTATGTCTTTTCGTTGACGATATTTAACGGCAGAATGCAGAGAGAATCGTGTTGCTGTATTGTACCCGAAGCTCCGTATTTGTGGAATATACACTTGGTAACGCGAGGAAACACATAGACCATAGGATCAATTCGTTCCTCCTGTGGTGTATCCGAGAACTGCAATACTCGCAGACCATAGCTGAGGAATTCGCCATCGAAAAATCGGTTCATCAGATACAGTTGACCGATTATATTGACGAGGCACAGAACCTCGCAGGCGAAGTACCGATACACGTACGTGTTGTGATTCTGAAAGCACAATTCATCGTTGAATTAAAGCAAATTGGACTCAATGAGGACGAATTGGTCTTAACGCGGTCATCTCCCTCTCTCTTGTCACATGTCTCCCCTTTCCCCCTCCTATTTTCTTGGTCGTCTACTAACATTCTGCCTAAGTGACACCGGGATATATATATATATAGCATAATCTATTAAATACAATTTTACAACCTAGTTTTATTGTAATTAACATTGCATCTACGAAGGATTTATTTTAGAAAATTCATTAGATATTTTACATTGTAAAATATTATAGTCGCATTTAAGAATTCAAACTAGAATCTACTGGTTATTTTACATTTATAAAATCTTATGAAAATATTTTATCAAATTACTATTTATCTTAAAATAACAAATCGTTACAAACACCGCTCTCTGTAATCACTTTTAAATCCTACGGTTATCTATTTTACGATAGGCTCAAATTTAATCACCTAGTATATGTTGGAAACATTTTAAAGTGATAATATTATGACTAAACGTTAGCAGTAAGGGTCTGCGCACAATAGGAGAAATATTAGGAACAGATATTAAATATAAGAATTTTAAGATTATCCTATCAAAACTGCGTGTACTGTGAAATGTGCGCTTTCTGACAGGTTAACATTCTTATATTTAATATCTGTTCCTAATATTTCTCCTATTGTGCGTAGACCCTAACTCATACGATATTATTGAAATCCAAGTAGTTATCAATGACCACCAAGGGTGACTAGCTAAATAATGAATCAGTCTACTTAAATAAATCTATTTTTTCAAGATTTTTCATACATTACTATTTATTATATCTGCTAAGTGAAAAATTAACCAAATTTATGGAACCGATTTGTTTACATTCTTACCCTTATGTGCATCATCAAGTAATCCATGAGAATACTTTTCTTCTTCGTTATGTTATCTTCGGTATCCATACCACAATTCATTCCCATAACCAGCGCCTGCATCAGGCCGCCTTCCCAAAAGCCCCACAGCCATTGCGGTATATAACACAGAACCGCCTGTTAACAAAGATAAATAATCAGATAAACAAGCATAATCAGGTAGACAAGCATTATACAATATAAATGTCAGTCATTATAAATTATAAAATCTAAATACCAATACGTTCTCATCGGTATATAGTTTAAACTCTCACGGTCCAATAACACTTGATATTGTTTATAAAATGTATAGAATTAATTCTGCAAAGAAATTATATCAAAATTTACTGAAACATGGATTCAAAATAGCATCTTTCTTCACTACATTTTGTATGTATAATAAAAACTCCAGGAATAGGACTCTCCGTTAACATTCGGAAATGAATTGAAGATTGACGCTCAACTTTTTTCAATTTATCCGTCTCGTAATCGTAACTGAACAAATCTTCGCGGATGACTATTAAAGCAATCATTTATAATCTCCTACGCACGAGACTGCACGTGGGCCGCCAGACGTAAAGGACACGCGCGGATCAGCGAAAAGACAAGCTGGTGAGCATAAAGAAGAGACAACAATGAGAAGACCTCCGAGTCCGAGAAGCCCTCCTTGCGTGGCGCGCGTTCACCATGTCGCACGTGTGGCAAGATTGTCGATAAAGCGAGGGCTACTCTCTGCTTACCTGGAAGAACAGCACGAAGCAGACCCACTGATAGTACGTGTAGTATTTCCTTGCCTCAACATCTCCGAAGTCGTTGGACACTCCTGGATGAGCCACCTCCGAGCCGACCTGCGGAAACACGAGACTTTAGTGGCTTAGCGATAACGATGACACCACGTTATATGCATCTCAACGCGCGATAAAGCCATTCGACCCTCCTTAGATAACGAGAAACCAACCCCCTTCCTCCTCCGGCTTTATACCGTTTTATTTAGAAATCAACACTGGCAAGTCTTGGCCATTGACAATACAAATCTTCCTAACTGTTTATTTTTCTTAATATTGGAGACTTTTTCATTTTAATAGAATCAGGAAGACCAAGTGCACGTGCTATTACGACAGGACGATATATTATCAGGACAGTCAACAATATCATAAATGGTATTCATTTTTAGTGTAATTTAATTTAATGGCTCATTTTTTTTAATTCTTGTACTTTATCTTTTCTTTTTCTTTTCTCCAACGTAAAGAGAAAAAGGAAAAGATGAACCGTGTAAGAAGCTCAGCTAAAAAGAACATATTTAAAATTTCCCCGATTAGGATAAACAGAGATGGGAACAAATTTTACTTTTTCTTTTCTCGTTTTTAAATTTCCTTCAGCAGGATATCGTATACACTCGAACAATATTCGAGCGATCGTTAAAAATAATCAATGCGCCACGGTACCAATTCCTTACACTGATATATTCATAACCAATTTCTTATCTCTTAGGAGTAACTGCCGATTCAGGATTAATCAAGGCAAGTGATGAATACATTTATTGAATGCACATTTATGCAATAGCACAGTAGACAATGCAGTACAAAAAAGTTTTAACTTCTCGTGATGATTAAGAAGAGAAATCTGTACAGTCATCAATATGGCCATTTTCATCATTATTTTCGCATTCGTAAGACTTAGTAATTTACACATCTATAAATACGTTGACGGTCAAATTTCAAAGTACAACTTGCAAAAGATTCGTTTAAATTACAGTCATATACTGTATTTTTTATATTGTATAAATGTTTTTGATATTTTATACGATTATCTAATATTTGCATGTATAAGTGTTAGTAATAACAGTATAATGTACGGAGCTATTTTTCTTTGGCTGTATCGATTTTTCTTTACCATTACCATTACATCAGAACACGTATGTGCATTATGCAAAACTCAATTGTCCCACATATTTCAATTAAAACCGCAGTTGATTACCTACAATTTCCAATATCTCGGTCGATGTTGAATCAATTATCTCCGCCTCATTAACCATATAAATAACATTTCCGTTGCCTATCCTCGCGCATCTGATGATCTTCAAATATTTCGAGCAAAAATCGTTAATTTTATTTTTGCCGACAATGCGTGGCACGTTCTTATAATATGATATCCGTAACTATGAACATAATCGGGGGAGACCATACTCTCCCTCCCTTAAATCTTAAAGAACAAAGACTTAAAACTGCTTAAACGCAGATTATACATATATACATGTTCAATGAATATTTACAAGAGGTTAATTTTGAAAAAGAAAAAAGAAATAGTATGTTACAGAAAGATTTTTTGGAAATCCAAAACGGCTAGTGTTAAGTTTTTTTTAATTAAAAAAATTAATTTACAATTTTATAAGAGAAGAATAAAATAAATTAGTAAATTAAGTATGTGTGATTTTGTGATTTATCTGTGCAAGGGTAATTAATTAAAAATAATATAAAACGATACAAGGTCCTTATCACTCGACTCTTTCCCGGTCAAAAGTCACATCTCTAATTTGGCCTTCCAAACAAAATCATAGCTGTGCCTATGTCACTTTGAATTTCAATTTCACGTAAAATTCGAATAATTAATATTTAATTCTAATTAACAAAAAATAATAAATTTAAAACTATATTTGTTGTGTATATGGATTATAAGTGCCACTTTTAAAATTTACACGTGAAAAATATTATATGTATACGAAACCATCAGGTTTATCACATATGGAAATCGAATACTGTTTATGTTACTTGCTACCGACCTATTAGAGCAAAGCTGTAAACGTAACAAATTTCTTAACGACGAAGCAGTATCGCGTATCGAAAGTGATATTATTTACAAAATGATGCAACAAAATGAGGAAACTGTGTGATCAGGGTGATCACTGAAACCTTGGACAAAAGTCCTTAAGAATTCCCTTGAAGATTTTCTCGAGTTTTTTATTTAAAACTTCCGATAAAATATCAGACATTTTTTTATGCAACTTTAAAATAATTCAGAGTGCGAGTGACGCGAACAAAACAAACTATATATAGTAAATTAGAAAAAAATAAGGATTCGACGAGGCTATCATCTATTATGTTCTATAACTGGAGCCGAGAAACCTATAGGATAGTATAGAAAGTGAAATACTACAAGATAATATCAATGAGTTACTTTCTTCTGCTAAATATTGTCTTCTATCGTCATCTTAATTTTTGTAAAAACCCGCGAGACACGCGAAAATGCACGTGAATTAATATACCCGGACGTGTATATCATATTTCTTGCTAATCGATTATCAACACAAAAAAATGATCAAAAGGAGACAATGTTTTCAGAAAGAGACAGAATAAGTAACATTCAAAAAATCTCCCTAAATAGGTACTGATAAAGAATTCCACAAAAATTCCTGATCTTCACAGGTAACAAAGAAATCCTCTGAAAATGTTTTTTCGACACGTCTGGATCGTAATTTAGTTACATAATCAATTATTAAACGAGTTAAGGTGATTTCAAATGTACGGCTATGGCTTTCTAAAAAGAAAAAACTAAAGATTAGCTATGCTTGCGTTCTAAGCTTTGGTCCGATAAGTCGCGTCAGTCAGTAATACAATCAGTATTTGATTTTCATGTAGGTATGATAACGCAATATATAGTTTCACCTATGTAGCTTCTATTCGACGCGCGAATGGATTGTCAATGCAGACAATATTATAAAGACTTGAACAACGAACAAGTTCCACGTACTTTAAAGTAGAAAAAATATTTACAAAATAAATTGCTTCTAAGAAATGACGTATTTAAATTCTCGTAAAATCACAATGTTGAGAATATATTACTTTCTAGGTAATTTAAAAAATATAATATCATCAACACATGATTATATAACCAATGGCTGGCTGCTCATCAATCATTCTTTTCGCTGTGGAACACCTTCCGCAGGTATTCATATAGTAATCAAGTGTACTTTCTTGAAAATTACGCTTCACAAAGAGATAGCAGTCGTGAATATTTTTTTTGTATTTTTGAAGACACACAATTTCTTCACGAATAAAAAAATAACGTGTAATTGTGTGTGAGAAATTCATTCAAGTATAATTCACACAGTGAATTTCATCTCAAGTATGAATTATGATATATAATGCGATTATAATACAATGGACAAATTAGTAATTACCTTAATAAATTTTTAATAAACTTTATTAATTGATTTATTAATTTTATTTAAAAAATACTAAGAGGTAGTTTTATTAATAAAAAAAAAAAAAAAAAAAAAAGACAGTATGAAAATTATCAACTCAGACTACGACAGCAGCAGAAATTACAAGTAAATCAAATTCCATTTTTGCCGGATGAGCATGGCGGCATTCTAGGAAACCGTTTCTCGTTTTCCCAAGTATTTTTAAGTATAATATATACGTGGCACTCGAGATACTACCGTGTCTTCTGATATTATCATTTATGTTATTCATATTGTTTTTCTATACAAGTATATATATACACACAGATACATATATATATATATGTATATTCCCCCCCCGCCTGTTTTGGTTTTTTTTTTATCTTGAATCTTCGTTTTCTCTTTAATGTACATTATATTTTATATTTAATATCGTCGATAAAATTGAAGTATATTGGATGAAGTTCAAGATTGAACACGTCACCATTAGGATCTGTCGTGTATACATATAAGTGTATCGTTTTCATACAGAGGTACGCCTCGTGCCATATTATTTGATTTCTGTGATCAACTTTTGCCATCATTTTTTACTATCAAATTTTATTTTTGCAAATAGCATGCGGCAAGTTTTCCGTATAATCCGTAATGATTTTTCCACCGACAAATTTTACAACAGATAAAAATTGATTTTTCAAAAACTTGACTCACGTTTGAAAGTTTAACAGAGTATAAAGTAAATCGAGAATTTAAAGTAAAAAAATTTCTTAAGGTATAAATTTCAGAACAAATCAATTTTATAAAAATATCCTAGGTATCTAAAGTAAATAAAGTATCTCAGTAAATATCTTTCCATTTGGTGACATAAATTGACACAAGTGTAGTTCTTATCTTTGCTACTTACTGGAATGTGAGGAAACCTAAAATGACGTTTGTGTCGACTTATGTCACCAAATGAAGAATACCCTCAGTCGTTATTTAGTTCTAGCTTCATTAACAACTTCGTCAATATTTTTCTTTACTGCTGTTCACCTTGACACGACAGATCTCTCTCTCTCTTCTTGTAATTAAATATAATTTCCGACATATTCATTATAATTATTAACGTCATGAAATCCCGATCGGTAGCGTGACGGTTTGAGGAGGAGGGCTCGATGGAGAATCGAGAGCGATTACGTTCGTCGGGGGGGAGATCGCAGAATAGGTACGGATCGTGACAATCGAAAAATCACACGCACCTGTCGATTGAACGCGTCTGGCATGGTGAACGTGGATGTTATCCAGCAGTAAGTATTGATGGGATTAGTAGGCAGACCCTGGACGATGCAGGAGATCGGGTTACCGACGTATTGGGTGGCCGTGACGAGCAACGAGCACGTGAACAGCAATACCGTGGTGAAGTGGTTATGCAAACGGAACAGCACAGAATCCGTGACGATGTCCCGCCGCTTCAGGTACTTAGCCAGTCCTCCTAGTAGCTTATACATGATTGCGCCGGGGTGTTGCTATCGTGCCACGAGGACGACGTCGCTCGACGCGTATAGACGCTTCCCGAAGATGAGGATCGAACCACCACCGCCGCCACCGGCACCACCTCCACTGACACTATCAACACCACGTGTTCTCGATCCTCGACAGAGAAAGAGAGAGAGACAGAGAGCGCGAAGCTTACTTCTCCTCTCGCTGGATTATGAATTCTAACGGCGGCTCTCAGGACCACGAGGACGTACCATCAACCGGCACTAACGAGCGTAGCTCTCATCCACCGCGCTCTCGCGCGAACGAAAGCAGCAAAACGAAACGAGAGAGAGACACGAGCGTGATGCACGGTTGTGTCCACGCGGCAATGCGGCATGCCTGTCTCTACCTCCCTCCTTTTTTCTCCTCCTTCCGTCTCGCCTTCTCTCCGGGGGCCCTTCCTTTTCTATTGCCCCCCCCCCTCCTCCTCCCTCTCTTTCTCTCTCTTCCTTTTTCTCCCTCCTTCCGTGCCCTTCTTTTACAGTCTCCCTCTGTTTCTCTCTCTCCGTGATCCCTCTATCCCCGCCGGAGGGGGTCTTTCCTTCCCTCTCGACTCTCCGTGCGAGATCGGTCGCCGAACCACGGCTCTTGGACGAGTTCCCGGCGAGTCCACGACGTGTACCAGTTCCTCCTGCGAGAGAGAGAGAGAGAGAGATCGGCGGGCTCACGCGCGAATCATTTAGCGAGCGAGTGGGAGAGAGCACGAGGTGCAGGACGACTTCGCTACTTCCGTTTCCGCCTCCCTTCCTCACTGTGTCTCTCTTTCTCTCTTTCGTGGATAATTTTTTTTATAAATTAGCCTTTCCACAACCTTTTCGGTGTTCAGTCGAAAAACTCCTTTTTACAACGATCTCTCCAGGCAAATATTCTTTTGTTCATTGTCCATTGAATTCCCGCGCCCGTTAGCACCCAACCGCGACGCGACGGACGTGTAAACAAACGGCGGCGTCACGCGACGCAAGGATCTTCCTGGCGCTCCTGGCTGCGTCCTTCCTCCGCTTTTCCTTTACATGCGTCTTGATTTCTCATACGCGATTACCCTCGATCTCCTCGTGGACGATATCCCTCCCATTCGCGTTAAGGTAAAGAGTCTAAGGCCGCCGGGCCTCGTCGTCGTAGACCGTTCCCTTCTCGAGGACGCGAGATTTCCCCTTCCCCCCTCTTCTACCTTCGGGGAACTCTTGGCAGCGGAGAGCTATACGGTACTCGCCAGAGAGAAAACACAACACACGGCCGCACACCGCCGTCGCGTATCGAGGAAGCGACACTAACTACCAACTGTCAATCGCACCAATCCCCCCTCTCTCTCTCTTTCTCTGTCTTTCTCTCACTCCTCCTCCATCCCCCTTCCCGACAAAATTGTCCCCTCCTTCACTCGAGGTACTGCACGCACGATGCGAAACAAAATTGTGCAGCGCGGCGAGGCTCGCCGTGTTCTCCGTTCCTCTCTCTCTCTCTCTTTCGCGCGCAGAGGAACGAAACGCTTCCCTCCCCCTCACAGAGCCTTTTTTTTCCCCCGCGAAAATTGCCGTGAGAGACAGCCGCGCGGCATAGAGAGTGCCGGGCGTGTGCGGCGTGCATGCGTGCTCGCAAAACAGCAATATCTTGAGCGCGGCGACTAACGGGAGAGAGAGAAGTCGCGGTTGTTTGTTGTGTCATCCAGGGGAAGGGAGCTCCGGAGAAGGGACGCAGGGGACAGGTAGGGGGGCCTCGGCGAGGGTACCAAAGGACCGACCAGAACGCCGGCAAGGGGGTGAGTGGGGAGATCGTGTTCGTGCTTGGGGAAGGATAGCCCCCGACGGAGGGGGGGGCCCGACGCGCGTCTCTCAGTTCGCTATAGTGCGTTTACGTGCCGACGATGTACAGTGCGTTCATCTACCGTTGCCCCCGTCATCATCCTTCTCACAGGCGGCATTTGGTTCAGGAATAGGGGACGACCCTTATTGCGTTACACACGCACATGTGGAGCTGCCCGGCGTGTAGTCTCCCTTTTCCCTTCTTCCGTCCCTTTTTCGTGAGTCCGAAGGGAAATCGGGGACCCCAGAGAGATTACTGCGGTCGGTATCTTCTGACTGGCATGCACTTTAGGAACGAGGGAGATGGAAGGGGGGAAGGGGGGCAAAGAGGCAGGGATACGCATTGAATATACAACTCTTTTGTACGTTTTTTTTTTTTTTTGTCGAGTCATTCTTCTGCGTAAGTCTCGTAGTATGATGTAGTCATGCAATGATATCGCATCACGAGACGATTTGTGAAGACATCAATTAGAACGTATCGTCTGAATTACGTTTTCATCGTTAAAGTGATTCCTCCGAAGCATTCTGTCTGTTAGAAGGTACCTGCCCCCCCCCTACTGTCACATTTCCCTCCTAATTGTTAAAAATCAACTCAATTATGTAACAATTATATTAGTTTGTAATAACTGTGTTGTAATAAATCGGAGTATCTCGTTGTGTAAGATTTCATCAGATTCCAATCTAATTTCTAATCTCGGCTGAAATCATTATATTGTCTATTCGTTATATAATTGAACATTTCGTGGAAGTAAATCATTTCAGCCGCGGTTTTCAATCAGCAGCAGCCTTTTGTATTTGTCAGTCAACGACGCGTAAAAACATAAACGAAGGTAGTCAGAGATAAAATGGAGAGACGTGCTAATGTTGTAGGAAAAAAAAAACGTGCAATGTTGTCGCACGCATATTCAAGCTGCTGGAGTATACAAATACCTACAATATGTATGTATGTATATGATGACGTTGAAGTCGCAGTTTACTTTACCAAGGAGTATTAACGACGAATTTCATGGCTGTTGTGTGTTGGATCTTGTGCTTCGCACAAGAGTTTCCAAAAGTCGTGTGAAGCGACATGAATATTAATAATTCGACAGAACTTTGCACCTCTATTATTATTAAAAATTGTACATTGCAGGAAGTACGATAAAAGTCATTACCTTTCATCATATAATAATAATAATGCGAAATTATTGTATGTGAATTTTGAAAACTGGATTTTTTCCCAATTAGAATATATATGAACTCCGGGTTGTGTATTTTTCTATTAGAATTGTTTGTATATTATCAGAATTAACGATTGTAATAAATTTATTCTGCTTTAAGTAGAAGAGTCCGTTCCGCATTCTCGTTAGTACAGCTACGAACAAGTCCCTCGGGGAAAAATAATGAAATCTTGTTTGCCCTTGTAAGATTCTTCGTATTCCTCGAACTTCTCAGAGAGAAGCAGCTTTCCATCTTATCCTTGAGTTTTTGTCTCTACATCTGTACGCTTGTTGATATTTGAAACTCATTTACGAATTGACGGTTCTCATTCTCGTTTTTCTTTTCCAAAGTTAAAGCAAAATTTCATAAAATAATAGAATAAGATAAAAGGCAGCTTTTCGAAAGCGAGTCAAAATAGTTTCAAATTTTTTTACAAATATTTGTCAAAGGTATCTATTGCGAGCAAATATAGAGAAATATTAAGCAACATTAAAAATAATATATAATATTTATAATTTTTTTCTCAACATTGATCGCCATGTATATTTAATTAGATACACATAGATATTTATACATAGATTCAAGGCGTCTCATGAATATTCCAAGAGTTTTATAAATATTTCAAAAAACACATAACATTTTTATAAATCATTTTCAAATTCATTTTATATTTATGAATGTTTTGTAGAAATTAGATATGAAATTATAATGTAGTGCCACACAGGGGCAGATTATAAAAATCCGTTTGACAATCAAAGTGTCGTTATATATAGCTGCGTTTGGCGGAAAAAACAGTTTTGCAGTACAGTAAAAAGAATATGTGTTTGTATTCGGAAACGGTCCACTCACGTATTGAACAGTTTTGTATTGTATTTTTTAACATATTCGAGTGTTAATTTAACGTAATGTGATTATGCTATTTAAAGATTTTGTGTTAAATTGATATTCAGTATTTCTTAGTATCAAAATGACACAATTTATGAGTGAACAAAATAACGTAAAAATAAAATTTCAAACGTAAATTCTAAGATGAAGAAAATGTGGGTTAATTTAATATATTATATCATAAATGTTAATTTTATTGAAAAAATATGCTTCAATGATTTGTTTACAATCGATATATTATTTTTTTCTGCATATATTTATTTTCTTACACATATAACATTTGTGTAACCTTCTAATATATTCGTCTGGTATTAAATTAACCCAAAAATTTGAATTCAGACTATTTTAGATGCGGTTTATGTTAAATCGAAACACTTTTCAACGGTGAACTGTTGTAAGATACTTCAAAACTACGATTGGTTCTTGTTTTTAATTCTTCATTGGATTTAATAAACTAATCATATTAATTAATTTTCTCAATTACGAAACTTTTTTTTCTGTTAAACGTATAGCCTTTTTTATCATTCTACATGATTACTGTAACCGCAGAAAGCAAAGCGTTTCTTGCAGTCTCTTTTAGAAAAAATTCAAAATAAATACAAGTTTCCATGCAATACGTTATCTTTGAGGAAATAAGATTTGTTACATTTTCCTGAAATATAATAAACTTTTGCTCGACTCTATTATCTCGCACAATCATCGTGACTCGTTAGTACTGCATGGCATAGACTGCTATGAGTAACGTGTTCGTTTGTATGAAAACTCCAAGTGTGATTCGCGAGCTTCGGCGATGACTCATTCGCGTAAATGCATCGGATGTGTGAGGATTACTACGGATTCGATTCCATTCATGCGAACTCACGGATGTGTAAGAACGTTCGTAATAATCTGCACATCCGTGGACATTGCTACATCCGCCGTTACGTTTTTCGCCGTTTCGATGGTGACGCTATCGATGGACCAGATGAGCGAGAGATGACGCAACGTCGGGCAGCCTGTACAACACAAATATTGCACGAGCTGTTCGTATCTTCATGATGAACTTTGCAATTTTTCTACACGCACTACATACTTTTGCCTCTTTGAAA